ATCGGCGTCGGTATGGAGTACATGTCTCCAAGGAGGAGTTCCCCCATGCATCCATCAAGCGGTGGAACAGGTGGCGGTAAGCTCGTTTGTTTTTATCATGCTTATATTATATTAGCTTGGTATGTATGTATGTTTGTTTGTTTGTAATGGAATTTTCGAACGTGATTTTGACCCCCATCGAAACGTCCGATTGATTTAAAATTGTTGGAATAAAAACGAAATTGCTATCTGGGGGTTTTCTGGGTGGCAGATTATGATTTTTTCGTCAAAATTTGAAAATTAAAGATGGCGGATCCAATATGGCAGACGAGTTTTGTAATTATGATCCGATTCTATTCAAAATTTGTATCTGGGGGTGTTCTGGTTCGGAGATTATGATCCCTTCATTAAAATTGGTAAATTCAAGAGGGCGGATCCAATATGGCGGACGAGTTCTGTAATTATGACCCGGTTCTATTCAAAATTGGTATTTGGGGGTGTTCTGGTTCGGAGATTATGATTCTTTTGTCAAAATTGGGAAATTGAAGATGGCGGATCCAATATGGCGGAGGCGGACGAGTTTTGTAATTATGATCCAATTCTATTCCAAATTGGTATGTGGAGGTTTTTGGGGTCAGAGATTATGATTCTTTCGTCAAAATTTGCTTCACGGGGTTTTTCGGGTCGGAGATTATGATTATGATTATTTGTCAAAATTGGAAAATTCAAGATGGTGGTTCCAATATGGTAGATAAATTGTGTAATTATAATTCAATTCGATTCAAAATATGAATCTGGCAGTTTTCGAGGTCAAAGATTATGATTCTCGCTTCAAAATAGGGAAATTCAAGATGGAGGATCAAATTTGGCGGACGAGTTTTGTAATTATGATTCGATTCTATTCAAAATTGGTATCTGGGAATTTTCGAGGTCGAAGATTATGATTATTCCGTCAAAATTAGTAAATTCAAGATGGCGGATCACACATCCCTGAAGAATTTTGTAAACATGATCCGTTATATTCAAAATTTTCATCTGGGTTTTTAGGAGTCGGAGATTATGATTCCTCGGGCAAAATTGGGAAATTCAAGTGAACTAAAAAGGAGTAGAAAATAAATGCTTTTATATACAGGGTGGCCCACGGTCGATGGTACCTTAGACGTATACGGAAAACGGTACATTGGATTATCCTAAAAATTCGGTTACTCTTATAAGCGTTTGTGATCTAACGATTCAAAATATTTTCAGAGATGCAGCGTTGCCACTTTTACCAAAGAGTAGCATCATCTTTGTTATTTCAAATGGAACACCCTGTATATTCATTGCGTTTTAAAATTCTTCTCGAAGAGCTGATTTCATCAATATATCACACTCGGGGTCTAGCAGGAATTATTACAGAGATATAGGGTGTTCAAAATCGAGATTTTTCAATTTCAGGAATTTTTTGTGTCGAAACTATTCATTATCGATCGAAACGGCTTACATGTCCCTATCTCAACTTTTGATTCACTATCTACTGACATTTAATTGGAACAGATACAGGGTGATCAAAATTCTGAATCTTGGACCATCCTGTATTTTTTCTAATTAAATGTCGGTAGATAGTTGATCAGAAGTTAATATAGGGACATGTGAGCCGTTTTGACCAATGATGAATAGTTTCGACACAAAAAAATCCTAAAGTTGAAAAATCTCGATTTTGAACACCCTATATCTCTGTTATAATTCCCGCTAGACCCCAAGTGTGATACATTGATGAAATGAGCTTTTCGAGAAGAATCTAAAAACGCAATAAAATACAGGGTGTTCTATTTGAAATAACAAAGATGATGCCACTTTTTGGTAAAAGTGGCAACGCTGCTTCGCTGAAAATATTTTGAATCGTTAGATCACAAACGCTTATTGAAGTAACCAAATTTTCAGGATAATATGATGTACCGTTTTCCGTATACGTCTAAGGTACCATCGACCGTGAGCCACCCTGTATAGTCAAACTAAAATGAAGTAGAATATTCAACTGAAAAAATATTTCCACGAAATAATGTACAAGCAAAACAACGTTTGCTGGGTCAGCTAGTTATGTATATAGCAAAACAACATTTAAAGTCCGACCACGATAACTTTGGGACAGCACGTGGTCGCGAATGCATTGAATATGCATATGCGTTGCGTCACATGCTGTCTCAAAGTTAACGTGGTCGGACTCTACCTGGGCTGCTAGTCTTAGAAATTCTTGAGCGATTTCAGACAACCATTTTCTTTTTTCTGTCGCAGTCGGCGGTTTCGGCGGCGGTAGGGGTGGCGGGGGCGGCCGAGGTAGGGGCGTGACGAGAGACCGCGACATCATCGGCACGACGATCAAGATCACGCGCGGTCCCTACAAGGGCAACATCGGGATAGTGAAGGACGCGACGCAGGCGACGGCGAGGATCGAGCTGCACACCTCGTGTCAGACGATTTCCGTCGACAAGAACCATATCGTGGATGTCGGTGAGTATGACATTTTGTGCACTTACATTGATTTTGATGGAATTCCGTATGAGGTTGGGCTGAAAAAGAAACACTTATTTTGGTAGGCATTTCCTGAGTCAAATACTTTCCTATTGGCAAAATTCGAAATTTTCATAATAAATAATTTGCATCTTTCTACGACAACCCTGTATTGCCATTATGAAACACATTTTTTTACCTTTCTTAATTTTATTTATTTATTCTCTTATTGAACGAATACCTGTCATCAAACCAAATACCAAGATATTTTATCTGGTCAGTTTGTTTTAAGAGTTCATTTTTTATTTTAAGGTTGAGGTACATTTTTTGTTCAGTTTTTTGGTGAAAAATTATATAAGGTTGGAGTGGAGCCATTTTTCAAATATTTTCAAGTCTTCATTTATCTTATTTCCTAAATTTGAAGAATTCTTGCCTTTATATAAAAGTACTGTATCATCTGCATACATGGTATATTTATTCGCTAGACCAATTTCACTGATATTTTGAACATAAAGTAAATATAGTATAGGTCCTAAAACAGAGCCTTGTGGGACACCCTTATTAATTAATAGTTCATTTGACTCAGAGTTGGTTGATTTTGTATTGATTGTCCTATTTTCAAGATATGAATTCAAAATATTTCTCACAGTGCCTCTGAGTCCCATTGTTTCTAAGTTTTCTAAAAGTGTTGTATGATCAACTGTGCCAAAAGCCTTTATGAGATCAATGAAAACAGCTACCACATAATTTCCTGAATCAAGTCCTCTCTGGATTGAATCTATCACTTTTAATACTGCTGCTTGTGTACAGGGTGAACAACTAAGAATTGCTATAATCATTCTTACTTCCAGCTTGACTGATTGATTGATTGTTTTTATCACCCCAAGAAGCATATCTGTTCATAATAGGGATACATGAACACATATAAAAATAATAATAAAAATATTGAAAGGCAGACTGATGAATTCCACTCAGTGAAAACAAATTCATACTTTTTCTCAAGATGAAAGTTATAACATTTCAACTCTGTGTAATCAAATCATGCCAAATATTTTTCAAAATCAAATCGTTCTGACCAGGTATTGTTCAAGAATGATTTTAAATCTGCTTTCATCATGTATATTTTTCAATTCATTCGGTAATAAATTATTGTATACAATTATTCCATTATGAGATATAGATTGTTGGCCCTCTAGCGGCAACGGTGATATAAATATGAAACCAATTCAAATCACAGTTAGTAAAACAGAAAGAGGCCTCTACAAAGAGCCTAAAATTGTTGAATTCTGAAGATAACCAGAGTTACAGGCGTTTAGAAAAAACGTAATTTGACGTTCCTCCACCACTATATTTCTTGAGATGATACAAAATGTGTGAATTGCATACATTATCAGTACACCTTGATACTACCAAATACTGTGAAAATTTCAATGTTCTCTCTACTCATAGCCGTTAAGCCACCTAGCGGTTATTTCAGTCCTGAAAATTTCTTCCAGCTATTTTTTAAGGTCACTTTTCTTACGATATATTTTTTCCAAAGTTGAATCATTATTTGTTGCTGAGTTATGGGCGACAGTCGTTCTTAGTTGTTCACCCTGTACATTTGCAACTGTAAAATATGCTAATTTGCAGCTGCAAATTGCAAATTTAAATTGACAAAAATCCGCCGTTCTATAGACCAACAACGAGTTTTGATAGAGTATTGATCGACATTGAAGTGATTTAGAGTCGCAGTTGTAAATTAGATGCTGATATTGATATTGCAGTAAAAAATTTCCCCCATAGTTGGTGCCTTAAGAAGATGTCCAAAACTTCTCCCAAATATAGCAAATACCGTTCTATACTCTCACATCCTTAGTAAAATGAACTATCTCATAAATATTTGGGGTTCATGTTCCAAGAATAATTTCAACAAAATATCTGTACTGTATAAAAAAGCATTAAAAGTACTGTATCGTCTTCCATATGACACCCCATCAAATCAACTTTATGAAGAAACAAATACATTTTCTTTAGAAGAGCACTATCTGATAAATACTCTCAAAATTTCTTTTGATATTATCAACAAACACCTCAAATCTAACTTCGTATTGGAAGGGAATTCTCAAATTCTTGAACATCATACTAGACAATATGACTTGTTTCATCTTGATGCTGCTCATTCTACACTTGGTCAAAAAAAGTTCACTCACGGAGCTATCTCAAAATTCAATAAATTACCTGATGATATCAAAAGTTGCACAAATATCACCCAATTCAAAATCAAAGTCAAGAAACATATCCTCTTGCAAAGAGAAACTCAAACCTGAGTGAATGATTTCTCATTGACTAATTTATTTCATCATGTCATAATGTACTTTTCATGAGCTTTTTGTTTTATTTTTTTTTTTTTTTCATATTCTGTTGTTTATTTCAATAACTATAATTTAATTTGATAATGCATGAATAATCTCATACCAGATATGAATCTGTCTGATTATTCATGTTATTATTTATTTATTTCAGTTATTGCATTACATTCTCTTCTTCATTGATACATTTCATACAAATAATATATAAAGTATAATTAATTTTCTAGTAGGAATGACATGAATGATCAGACAGTAATTCCTGGTATAAGATCATTCATGAAGTATTATCGACTGTTGTATAATTGAAATTACAAATAGTGAACAAAACTTACATATCATTAAGATACAGACATATTATAGTGAACAAGAAGGGGAAAAATAAAAACAGTGAAAAAAAAGAAAAAAGGAAATTCATAGTTTTTCAGCTTTGATCATTCCTTTGCATATAAATATATTTCTTGACTTTATTTTTGAATTGCATAATATTTGAGCTGTTTTTGATATCATCAGGTAAATTATTGAATTTCGAAATCGCCTCATGTGTAAACTTTTTTTGTCCAAGTTTAGAATTTGCAGCTTCAAGATGAAACAAGTTATATTGTCTAGTGTGATGATCATGAATTTCGGAATTCCTGATTAATATAAAATTTGATTTAAGCTTTTTGTTCATGATATAATAGGAAATTTTGAGAGTATTGATTAAAAAGTGCTCTTCCAAAGAAAATGTGTTTGTTTCCTTATACAGTTGATTCGTTGGAGTATCACATGGAAGACGATACAATACTTTCAATGCCTTTTTATATAGAACAGAAATTTTGTTGAAACTATTTTTGGAACAAGATCCCCAAATATTTATGAGATAGTTAATTCGACTGAGTATATGTGAATAGAGAATAATATTTGATGTATATGTACTAAGTTTAGGACATCTTCTCAAAGCACCAATAATGGGAGATACTTTTCCTATGAGGATGTCTATATGCTTTCCCCATGTTAATTTCTCATCAATCCAAATACCAAGGTATTTGGTATGGGCAGTTTGTTTCAAACGTTCATTTTTTATTCCATTGTAAATGTTAATGATTATATTTATATTTATATGAGATGCAATGTAATGTTTATAAATAGCAAAGATTGAAATAAAGATTTAATAAATGTTCTTTCGTTGTTTTAGGTGCACCTGGCAAAGAGGGCGGCGCCTCCAGCTACGGCAGGACGCCGGCGTACAGCGGCAACCAGACGCCGTTGTACAGGGACACGGGCAACAAGACGCCGATGTGCGATTCGGGGTCGCGCACCCCTTTGCATTACGGCTCGATGACGCCCGTCCACGATGGTTCAAGGACACCGAACGCCAGCTCCGAGTGGGATCCTGCCGTTTCCAATACGTATCCGTCGCCTGGATATAATCCAAGTAGGTTGGAAGGAAACAAAAAGCAACATTTGCTCAGAAATTTTTTTCTTAGAAATTATGCTCGGACTTTTTCTCAGAAATTTGGCTCAGAAATTTTCTTTTCAGATTTTTTTTTGAAAATTGGCTGAGAAAATTTGCCATCGAAGGTTTCTTGAAACATTTTTGCTTTAGAATTCTTCAGAAATTTGCCAGAAATACGAAATATTGTTCAGAAAATTTACCACAAAAGTGTCCTTGGATATTTTCATATAAATTCCTCCAGGAATTGGTCAAAAATTTACAAAACATTGCTCATACTATTGTGCGATTCGTGGTCGTGCCCATGATGGTTCAAGGACACCGAACGCCAGCTCCGCGTGGGATCCTGCCGTTTCCAATACGTATCCGTCGCCTGGATACAATCCAAGTAGGTTGAAAAGAAAAGTAAACATTTGCTCAGAAATTTTTTCTTATAAATTATGCTCGGACTTTTTCTCAGAAATTTGGCTCAGAAATTTTCTTTTCGGATTTTTTTTTGAAAATTGGCTGAGAAAATTTGCCATCGAAGGTTTCTCGAAATATTTTTGCTATAAAATTCTCCAGAAATTTGCTAGAAATACGAAATATTGTTCAGAAAATTCACCACAAAAGTGTCCTAGGATATTTTCATATAAATTCCTCCAGGAATTGGTCAAAAATTTACAAAACATTGCTCATACTATTGTGCGATTCGTGGTCGTGCCCATGATGGTTCAAGGACACCGAACTCTAGCTCCGAGTGGGATCCTGCCGTTTCCTATACGTATCCGTCGCCTGGATATAATCCAAGTAGGTTGGAAAGAAAAAAATAGGAAACATTTGCTCAGAAATTTTTTCTCAAAAATATTGCTCGAAATTTTTTCTCAGAAATTTGGCTCAGAAATTTTCTTTTTAGATTTTTTAAAAATCGGCTGAGAAAATTTGCCATGTAAGGTTTCTTGAAACATTTTTGCTATAGAATTCTTCAGAAATTTGTCAGAAATACGAAATATTGTTCAGAAAATATACCACAAAAGTGTCCTAGGATATTTTCATATAAATTCCTCCAGGAATTGGTCAAAAATTTACAAAACATTGCTCATACTATTGTGCGATTTGTGGTCGTGCCCATGATGGTTCAAGGACACCGAACTCTAGCTCCGAGTGGGATCCTGCCGTTTCCAATACGTATCCGTCGCCTGGATATAATCCAAGTAGGTTGGAAAGAAAAAAATAGGAAACATTTGCTCAGAATTTTTTTTTCAAATATTGCTCGGAATTTTTTCTCAGAAATTTGGCTCAGAAATTTTCTTTCCAGATTTTTTTAAAAATCGGCTGAGAAAATTTGCCATGTAAGGTTTCTTGAAACATTTTTGCTATAGAATTCTTCAGAAATTTGCCAGAAATACGAAATATTGTTCAGAAAATTTACCACAAAAGTGTCCATGGATATTTTCATATAAATTCCTCCAGGAATTGGTCAAAAATTTACAAAACATTGCTCATACTATTTTGCGATTCGTGGTCGTGCCCATGATGGTTCAAGGACACCGAACGCCAGATCCGAGTGGGAACCTGCCGTTTCCAATACTTATCCGTCGCCTGGATATAATCCAAGTAAGTTGGAAAGTAAAGAAGAGGAAACATTGGATCCGAATTTTTTCTCAGAAATGTTGCTCGGATTTTTTTCAGATATTTGGCTCAGAAATTTCTTTTCAGTTTTTTTTTTGGAAAATTTGCTCAGAAAATTTGTCGAAAGCTTTTTTGAAACATTTTTTTCTGTGGAATTCTTCAGAAATTTGCCAAAAATACAAAGAAAATGGTCAGAAAATTTACCACAAAGGTTTCCTGGGATATTTTCCTATAAATCCCTCCTGGAATTTGTCAAACATTTACAAAACATTGCTGCTATTATGCGAACACCGAACACAAGCTCCGAGTGGAATACTGCCGTTTCGGATACTTATCGGATATAATCTAAGTAGGTTGGAGAAAAGAAAGAGGAAATTTTTACTCAGAAAATTTTTTTCAGAAAATTTTTGTCAGAAATGTTGCTCGGAATTTTTTCTCAGAAAATTTGCCAGGGAAGGTTTCTTGAATCAATGTTTCTATCAAATTCTTCAGAAATTTGTCAAACATACAAAAAATTGGTCAGAAAATTTACCACAAAGGTGTCCTAGGATATTTTCTATAAATTCCTCCAGGAACTTTTGACTCGGCTACGCCTCGTTAAAAATCAGATCTCGATCACAAAAGTAGCATTTGGCGCACTAGATACAAAAATAACTATTTCAAAATATCTAGCTAAATAAAACAAAAACAGTAAGATTCTGAAAATTCATGTGATACTTATCATATTGTTAGATACGCAACATGCGAAAATTATCTTTCTTTATTGGATTTTCCAATAAAGCTCCTTAATTCTCATTATTATTCCCGTGTAGGCACCCCCGGGTACCAGATGAACGGCCCCTACACCCCCCAAACGCCCGGCACCATCTACGACAGCACGTACAGCCCCTATCAGGCCAGCCCCGGCTACCAGAGCGTCGTCTCCACGCCCAGCCCCGCCGCCGGCTACGGCCAATCGCCGGCCAGCAGCAACTCCTACAGCACGCCCAGTTCCGCCTACAGTCCCAACATGCCGTACAATCCGCAGACGCCGGGCGCTGGGCTCGACGTCATGCCCATGACCGATTGGCATACGGTCGACATCGAGGTTTGTTTAGTGTTTGTATGACCCTGTATAGTAGCGCAGTTCAGGGAATATCACATATCTTATAACCATACAAATTCAGTCCACTATATGTTGAGCAACAAACATATTGGTCCTTCGAGTCGGATCTAGTCAAATCAAATCAAACCTTCAAGACTACACGTAACTCTCCCAATTACTTTGGACTCAAAGTTTTCAATAAACTTCCCAGTCGATTGAAAAACTTCAAAAAACTCAGTCATTTCAAAACGAACTTGAAGCAATTTCTACTGGAAATGAATCCCTATACTTTAGAAGAATATTTTTCGGCAGCCTAGTCTTTTTGTTTCTGTCTCTGTAATATCTAAATATTATGTCTCTGTCTCAAACTGTCTAGTTTTAAGCCTTCAATCTGACGATTCCTATACATGTGAAAATGTCTAATGGAAAATAAACGTATTGTATTGTATTGTATTGACTGCCAAGTTCTTTCAAAGAATACAGGGCAGCTCTCAAGATTACCTGGAGTGACGTGAATGCCAAGCTCTGTATCATTTGTGATGAAGTTGGCAGTCTCGAAGGATTGATTTGAATAGATCCGGCTCGAAGGACCAATATGTTTGATGCGTGATGGATGTATTTGTATGGTTACCTACTAACTAACGTTTTTTTGCAGATTTGAATAATGAAAACTGTTTAGTGACAACAATAAAAATGCGATGCTAAATAGCATTGTAACCTTTTTTGCAATATGAATTGTAATTCTAATAACAATCTTTATTTCATTATCATATATCATATATACGAATACAGTCCACTATCTGTCAAGCATGGAACAAATTGGTCCTTTGAGCCGGATCTATTCATATCGAACCTTCAAGACTGCCAATATGTTCAATGCTTACCTTATTTGTCTTCCCATTTTTTGTAAATAAATACAATTTTGTTTTTGTTTTTTTTTTAGGTTAGGATACGCGACAGTCACGACGACTCTGGCCTAGTGGGCCAAACGGGCGTGATACGGAGCATATCGGGCGCCATGTGTACGGTCTTTTTGCCCGCCGAAGACAGGGTGGTCAACATCATGTCCGACCATCTGGACCCGGTGCGACCGCAAAGGGGCGACAAATTCAAAGTGAGTGTGGTGTGTTGTCAGTTGTCAGTAATAGATGTCAGCGGCATAAAAACCGACTAGAAAAATTGATCAGCCTGCACCATTTTTTATTTCTTGTCGGATTTTGGTGCAATTTCGACAAAATCATAGATTCATGACATGAATGTGAACACATTGACTTACATACCTTGGAAGAAAGGCAATTTGAACAAACAATTGAAAGTACTTCAAAAAATCAAATTTTCAAAACCAATCAATTCTTCACCTTGATTTTCCTACAGAAACATAGGTTGAGATGATATAAAAATAATGACTGTATACAAATTGGCTTACATATCTTGGGAGAGGAGCAACATACCTTGGAAAAAGAGCAATATGAAGATGAAATTGAAAATACCTCAAGAAATAAAATGTTCGAATCAATCAATTCTTCACCTTGTTTTTCCGGCAGAAAAATAGGATGAGATGATCGAAAAATAATGGCTGTATACAGGGTGTCTATACAGTGTGTCCCACTTACCATGCTCACCATGGGTATCTTTTTAACGGTGAGAGATACGAAGTCGGTTAAATGACACCAAATGTGGAGTTTGTCAAGGTCAACTATAATGTGAAAAAATATTTTGATATAATCTATTCGTTTTTGTTTTATACGCAAAAAACAGATTTTGATCATTTTCTTGTCTCCTCCGTAACGTCTTTATTTATGGAAATATTCAAATAGGAATTTCACATTCTCATGGCAGTTTTTCAAAATGATTTCGAAAGAAATATGAAATTTATACCAACTGTTCTAGAATTTGAGATATCAGCACCAACTTTAGTTTTTCAAATGTAGGTCATAGCTCACTATCACTTAGTTACAAATAACTTTTTTTTCTCTTACAGATGATATGTCGCAGTAATAGTTTTGTGTTGATAACAACGGAGTTATCGTCATTTAAACAAAAACAAAATGATATTTGGAAGCCGCCATCTTGAATTTATAAATTTTGACAAGAAAATCATGATCTCCGACCTCAAGAACCCCCACATCAATTTTGAATGGAATCGGACCAAATCTTGTCCACAATACATTATGGAATTTTTGTTGAAATAAAAAAAATGGCTGCTCCAAGATGGCGGACAAGATTTGGTCCGATTCCATTCAAAATTGGTAAGTGGGGGTTTTTGAGGTCGGAGATCATGATTTTCTTGTTAAAATTTATAAATTCAAAATGGCGGCTTCCAAATAATTTTTTGTTTTTGTATAAATGACGATAACTCCGTTGTACTATTACTGCGAACTATTACTGCGACATATCATCTGTAAGAGAAAAAAAAGTTATTTGTAACTAAGTCATAGTGAGCTATGACCAACATTTGAAAAACTAAAGTTGGTGCTGATATCTCAAATTCTAGAAGAGTTGGTATTGATTTCATATTTTTTTCGAAATCACTTTGAAAAACTGCCATGAGAATGTGAAATTCCTATTCGAATATTTTCATAAATAAAGAAGTTACGGAGGAGACATGAAAATGATCAAAATCTGTTTTCTGTGTATAAAACAAAAACGAATAGATTTCATCAAAATATTTTTTCACATTATAGTTGGCCTTGACAAACTCCACATTTGGTGTCATTTAACCGACCTCGTATCTCTCACCGTTAAAAAGATACCCATGGTGAGCATGGTAAGTGGGACACACTGTATAACACCGAAAAATTCAAGGGGTGTTTTCTGTATATTATGTATAAAATAAAAAATTCTGTCACGGTATCTGGACTTTTCGGGAACGGATCTGCCCGTTTTCAACATGGAAAAATAATGAATCTTGTTTTCCCTATTGACAGTTCTTAGTAACAAAAGTTTAACGTCCCCTTTTCAGATGTTGTCTGTCAGTTTTTATTTCTTTCAACTAATCTTAAACATCTAGTCACTGTTTTTCGAAGTCTTTGATGATGGCAATCTTTTTTTAGGTTATAATCGGGGAAGAACGGGAACAGACAGGCGAGTTGCTTTCCATAGACTTACACGAGGGGGTGGTGAAGATAAAAGACGAAATTACCATGTTGCCACTCCAGAATCTTTGCAAAATGAGAGGACCAGATCACTAGAATGGATCTTTTATGGTAGAGTTTGGAGAAGTACCTTGTGGAATTTTTTCCGTGTTTACTTGGATCGAAAACAAGGTAACAGTAACAAAGTTGATGAAAATGATAATGTACTTGAGCTGAGAAAAAAATATAGAGATGTCTTGAGTATTTTTATGGAAAACTGTACCATCCCAGATTTTCCTCTCCTTGCTTTTATAACACCGTAGAAATTATTTGTGACTTGCAGATTGCTGTCAATAATCCATATGACGCTAATTTTATAGACAATATTCTCTTCGACGAAATTATAGAATTTCAAGCTATTTTGGAACATCAACAGAAAAACTAGCTTCATTACTACATAAACAAAACTTGAGAGTTACTCACAGAACAAAAAATAACAGGTTGGGAAGGTTTATTAAAAATAAAAAAGAAAACTTCTGAATTCAAAAAATTATTGAGTATAATATTGTACTGTGGTCCTGGGGTATATTGGGCAGACAGGTAGAAAGTTTAACCACCGCTTTTAAGAACATCATGAGTTTTTTTCTGATGAGCACAAATTCGTAACCATATGTTAAAATAACAAATTAGAAATTCTAAATGTAGAAAATGAAAAATTTACCTAACGATCAAATAGACCACCTCAACAATTCATCGATGATTTGATCCGTAAAAAGCAATTCAATTAACGAAATTATAGAATTTCAAGTTATTTTGGAACCTCAACAGAAAACCTAGCTTCATTACTACATAAACAAAACTTGAGAGTTACTCATAGAACAAAAAATAACAGGTTGGGAAGGGTTATTGAAAATCAAAAAGAAAACTTCTGAATTCAAGAAATTATTGAGTATAATATTGTACTGTGGTCCTGGGGTACATTGGTCAGACAGGTAGAACGTTTAACCACCGCTTTTAAGAACATCTTGAGTTTTTTTTAATGAGCAGAAATTCCTTACTATATGTTAAAAGAGAATCATAGTTTTAACAATAACAAATTAGAAATTTTAAATGTAGGAAATGGAGAAATTTACCTGACGATCAAATAGACCACCTCAACAATTCATCAATGATTTGATCCGTAAAAAGCAATTCAATTAACGAAATTATCGAATTTCAAGTCATTTTGGAACCTCAACAGAAAAACTAGCTTCATTACTACATAAACAAAACTCGAGAGTTACTCATAGAACAAAAAATAACAGGTTGGGAAGCGTTATTGAAAATAAAAAAGAAAACTTCTGAATTCAAAAAATTATTGAGTATAATATTGTACTGTGGTCCTGGGGTATATTGGGCAGACAGGTAGAAAGTTTAACCACCGCTATTAAGAACATCATGAGGTTTCTTCTAATTATCACAAATTCGTAACCATATTGTTAAAAGAGAATCATAGTTTTGACGACAACAACAAATTAGAAATTTTGAATGTAGAAAATGAAGAAATTTACCTGACGATCAAATAGACCACCTCAACAATTCATCAATGATTTGATCCGTAAAAAGCAATTCAATTAACGAAATTATCGAATTTCAAGTCATTTTGGAACCTCAACAGAAAAACTAGCTTCATTACTACATAAACAAAACTCGAGAGTTACTCATAGAACAAAAAATAACAGGTTGGGAAGCGTTATTGAAAATAAAAAAGAAAACTTCTGAATTCAAAAAATTATTGAGTATAATATTGTACTGTGGTCCTGGGGTATATTGGGCAGACAGGTAGAAAGTTTAACCACCGCTATTAAGAACATCATGAGGTTTCTTCTAATTATCACAAATTCGTAACCATATTGTTAAAAGAGAATCATAGTTTTGACGACAACAACAAATTAGAAATTTTGAATGTAGAAAATGAAGAAATTTACCTGACGATCAAATAGACCACCTCAACAATTCATCAATGATTTGATCCGTAAAAAGCAATTCAATTAACGAAATTATCGAATTTCAAGTCATTTTGGAACCTCAACAGAAAAACTAGCTTCATTACTACATAAACAAAACTCGAGAGTTACTCATAGAACAAAAAATAACAGGTTGGGAAGCGTTATTGAAAATAAAAAAGAAAACTTCTGAATTCAAAAAATTATTGAGTATAATATTGTACTGTGGTCCTGGGGTATATTGGGCAGACAGGTAGAAAGTTTAACCACCGCTATTAAGAACATCATGAGGTTTCTTCTAATTATCACAAATTCGTAACCATATTGTTAAAAGAGAATCATAGTTTTGACGACAACAACAAATTAGAAATTTTGAATGTAGAAAATGAAGAAATTTACCTGACGATCAAATAGACCACCTCAACAATTCATCGATGATTTGATCCGTAAAAAGCAATTCAATTAACGAAATTATAGAATTTCAAGTTATTTTGGAACCTCAACAGAAAAACTAGCTTCATTACTACATATAAACAAAACTTGAGAGTTACTCACAGAACAAAAAATAACAGGTTGGGAAGATTTATTAAAAATTAAAAAGAAAACTTCTGAATTCAAAAAATTATGAGTATGATATTGTACTGTGGTCCTGGGGTATATTGGGCAGACAGGTAGAAAGTTTAAACACCGCTTTTAAGAACATCATGAGTTTTTTTCTGATGAGCACAAATTCGTAACCATATGTTAAAAGAGAATCATAGTTTTGACAATAACAAATTAAAAATTTTAAATTTAGAAAATGAAGAAATTTACCTAACGATCAAATAGACCACCTCAACAATTTATTTTCTTCTTATGTAATATGAATTATGTGTAGATCTCATCCTTTGTGAAGTTTTTCACTATTCCAAATCTTTCATCAAGATTGTCATAGTGCCCTTTTCATCATTCCTTATGTTTTTTCTAATTTATCCTGAAGATCATCATTTAAAAAATTATTCAAGTTGGCTTGTTTGGGAATCTGTGCATTGAAAGACAATTAAATTTCCAACAGTTTATTCACATAATTGTTAATTTTCAACAGAATCAGTCATGTCGACGAATAAAAAACATCGAAACGTTGATTAAATTTATTCAAGGGAGAAACGAATACAAAATCTGGGCGACTCGGGAACATATAAACGAATCAAGTACACACGTATTTTTGCCATTTCAAGCATTTTTCCTTTTGGTCAACAGAATCACGATTTTATTTACATACATATAAAAAACGTTGTAGTCTTAATCATTGCAGCTAATCAACACCTACCTATCCACCATTTTTAATATGGCTTATAATAATTAAACTTTCATCTATTCTACTTTCTATTTTTCGGTATTTTCTTATAAGGTGATCCCTTCATTGAAAGTTCATAAAAATACATAAAAAGCGAGAAGGATAAATAATTCAACACTGATAGGTTTCTATCTAAAAATGCAAAAATCAGATATCAAACTCGATTGAATAATCAAATGACTTTCAGTTGTTTCATTGCTAATTTTATTCACAACTGCATAATCACATTTCATAGTTATTTTACAAGAAAAATATCACAACTGACAATAATTTATTTAGCGAAATTTAACTATTACACAATCCATCATTGCGAGTGGCGGTACCTACTTGAAACTGCTTACAGGGTGATCCTGGATTTTTTCGCAAGTCCACCATTGATAAACTTCGAGAGAAAAACCTCGAAAATATTTGAGAAAGTTTTATCTGTGATAGCCTCACAGAAGTTATGAATGGACCATGGTCAATGGATCACCCTGTGAACAATAGAATTTTTCAAGTTTCAGGTACAACTTCAAACAATAATTTCAATTGTTCAACATTTGGACGCAAAAAGTATTATTATTTGAAAATTTCACCATATTGAAATGAATCGATGTTTTTGAGATTTGTAAAATCAGAGGTTTATATACAGTGCGTTCTACTAGTGGCCAAAATCCATCACATAGCGGTACTTTTGGACTTCATCTCAAGACGTTCTCGACATTTCTACACTATTAGCAATTTGATGGAAAATATTGATTTTCTTCTGGTGTCATGCGCATTTCTTGAAATTTATCTCCAGAATTTCGTTAACACCTTTTATATTGTTAAAAACTGTTTTAATGTCATTTGAAGTTCATTGAGGTACCAATAAAGCCACAAAGTTGAATCTCAAGGGGTGTATGGAAGCGTTACTTTAAAATAAACTGCTCAACATATGAAACGTAAAATCGCATTTTTTCGATCAAATTTGGATCATCATAACTTTCGATTTTCTCAACCGATTTTAAATTATTTTTCAGTTCCTGAAAGCTCGTTTCATTGACTATCGAACCTATGATATGACTATTTCATCTTTTCCGGATCAGATTCTACAGGATGATAATCAGAGCTGTGCATTTTTCCAATAATTCCTAACGCCTTCCCTTTGAAAGAAAAATATTTCTATTTTTTTTTTAGTCTAAAACATATTGTTTCATATGTTTTCTCGATACTGTGAAACATTTTTTGAAATTGTCACGCGCCTTACTGAAATATGAATGTTTTTTTAAGATAATGCATAAATTAATGGTCTAATAACTATTGGCTTTGTGCTCTTGTCAATCTGGTTCAAACGGTGGTCAAAATCTTGAAATGAAGCATGATCAACCCATTCCTATATACAGGGTTGTCGGGAAAACATATGAAGCAATATGTTTTTGAAAGATAGAAAAATAGAAACATTTTTCTTTCAAACGGGAGGCGTTTGAATTTTTTGGAAAATGCACAGCTTTGATTATCATCCTGTAGAATCTGACCCGGAAAAGATGAAATAGTCATATCCATAGGTTCGATAGTCAATGAAACGAGCTTTCAGAAACTGAAGAATAATTGAAAATCGCTTGGGGAAATCGAAAGTTATGATTATTCAAATTGGATCGAAAAAATGCGATTTTACGTTTCATGTGTTGAGCAGCTTATTTAATGAAATATGGAACCTACAACTTCAAAAGTAAACCATTATGAGGGAGTTTTCAAAAATCGACAGACCTGTTCTAAAATAATGAATTTTTGCCACCCGAAGTGAAACAATCTGTATATACAGTTCCCGGTGTCCT